TTAATTAAAATTTGTTTTTGTAACCAAGGTTCAAGTTGTAACTTGTAAGGTTAAAATTGACGAATCGGACTAGGATACATTTAACATTTAAAAGATATTACCTATTGTATTATAATTTATCACTTATCAGTGTACATAGTATGGTGGCGTAATTTGGAGGGGTGGGGGCAGGAGGGGGAAATTGCCCCACCCTTGATTTTTTATGGGCTGGTCAAATTTTCGGTACGATAAGGAAATAGGGCCGCTTGAATGGCGGATCTGCCCATAGACTATTTAATGTTAATATTAAATGGTAATTAATGAAATTGTAAAATATGTTTTTCGCATAACGTTAGTATAGAAATCTGTGTTGTTGATATTGATCACACTATCACAGTAATACCAGTATACCACACAACAATATCTACAACCAATTAATTAAAAGAATTATTTTATTCAACTATTGATAGGCAAGTATTATTATAGTTTAAATATGTTATGATTTTAAAATATGATTGAAATAGTGGCTTACCAATACTAGGTACTTATTTTGCTTTGTTACTAGCACATTGCCATTATTACATGTATAATATAAACAAAAGGTTCATTTTCAGTGCATAACTTGATTCTTCTATACAATGCTAAAATACTTATTATATTTTTTAATACAATTTTGCTTAGCATAGTTATAATTTAATTCCTTATCCATTTATTTTATAGATTTATGAATGAACTTGACAAACGTATTAATAACACAAACAACAATATTATTTTAACCTGTACTATATTTATTTCTTCAAATCCTGATTACTTTAACTTCAAAAGTCCCTATCTCCAAGCTTTTTTGAATCACTATAATTACTTCAATATTAATCCTATATTCCTAGAGTCTGAATTTCTCATTAATTACTAAATACTTACCAATTTTTTTAATAAAATTCCAATATTTCATAATTCTCCAAATCAAATTTTGATATGAAAATAAAAAAATAAAGAATCATTATACAACTTAATATGACTCCTTCTAAAATACTTAGAATCTAGTGTAGGTAGTTGGAAATAAATTGCATGGCACGCATATCATGCATATCACGCGTATCACCTGCACAACCAGACACTGAAATCTATACCACAGAATAGATTTAATTTATTCTGTGTCTATACCACGGTCCTTACAAAACAAAATGTTTGGTTATATCACAGAATAGATTAATTTATTCTGTGGTTACATCTTATATTCATATTATAACCTCCTTGCATGACGCGTAAACATGTATTTCATGAAATCATTTTCGTAGAATAATCTGATTGTTGCATAAATCCCTAACCTAGTTAACTTACATGGCTACATAGTGCATTACATTTGCCGTGATTACATTTTTTATTCTTATTTTATTTTAATATAAAAATTATTATTTATACTGAAATCTATACAGACGCTTAAAATAAATAAAACCAAATCGTTTCTTAAATGAAATATTGTTTCCGTAGAATAGTCTGGTTTAATCTCTTTTCTATGAGTCTGGTTGTTCCATAGATCCCTGAAATACCTTTGCCGTGAATCGTGATCGATGAACTCAGAGAAGTTACAAAAAATAATATGTGTGGCTACTGGATCTTGCGGGAAGAAAATTTCAGTTTTGGGTGAAATACCGCCCGCGACTGAAATAGCTCACTTCCCGCTTTGCCACACAATTTACTATTATATTATTAGGGTACCTAGTACCTACTATTATATTATTAGTACCTTGTACCTACTATTATATTTTAATTTATATTACCTGTTTATTTAAATGTAATACCTAACTAATAAATTATGAATACTTCATATTATTGAGCACACTGTAAAAAATGTAAACATTTCAATTGAATCAAAAATTTAATTTTTTACAGACAATATACCTAGTTACTGATATGAATATTAAGTTAACATCTCCACTTAAAATATAAGGAAAATATTTAGGATTTCTCTGAAAATTTTATTTTTATTTTACAAAACCGGTGAATTGAGGTATACCTAATGTAACAACTTTTGAGTTTTGGTGAAACAAATAACAGTGTTTTCTTGCGAGGAACAGAAATACTATCCCTCTGTACTGTTGTGCATTATCTAAAATTGCGATGCAGTAAACACTAAAAACGCAATGAAATGCGAATTGTCAAAGTTTAGTATCTAAATCTACATACCTACTATGTTGGGATCGACAATGGTCGTTTGGGACAAAGTATATTTTTCACTTACAAACAACTTTGGATATTGAACCTGAACGTTCAGCAGAACGGAAAGTGTACGACAACGAAAAAGGTCATATAAGGAAGGACGTATAGGTATAGGGATAAGTCCACAAATTCTTTATATATATAAGAAAACACTGTGCTGGTTACAATGCTCATGAATCATGATATTACTATTTTGATTCTATTCTGAAGTCTGAACTAGTCTCAACCCACATAATATATGCTAAGCTGTGCACCAAAGTAATAACTAATGACAAGTGTACCGCAATAGACAGTACCTAATAATTAGGGCTCGGATTTTGTAGCAAAATAAATCCTTAAAAAAGCATTTATTAATTTAATTCTAAAAAAAAAATTATTAACAATAACGATGATAGAGAAATTAATTAGAACACTATACGTCTATACCTCACTGACTGTTGATTGATATTTACAGGCCAATACTAAAGTATTAAAACGTGCTATAAAAATAAGCAGGTATAATTCAGATAATTTTCCCTTTCCTTGAGTCGCAAATACAACTAGAGATAATCATAATAACCACAATAACCATAGGCATTTTATCAGTCATACATTAATTACTGTTTTTTTCACTGGTTTTATTATTTCTGGTTATAATAATAAAGTCCAATTATAATATTAAATTTTCAAGAAAAATATGTAAAAATCAAGAAAAAAGAACCAAATAGGGGGAAAAGCAATAAAAAGCAGGTTTTGTGGAAAAAAGCAAAAAAAAGGAACACAAAGTTTACTTCATTAAAATCGGAACGATTCAAAACGTATTTATGTATAAGAATAATCTTTCTATGTCACTCCCCTCAAAAGAAGCATTTCCTACAAAATCCGAGCCCTACTAATAATAATCGAATACTATATGTGTTGGCCTAACACCAAATTATATACTATTTTATAGGTCGTCTGATGGAGATAGTAATCAACAGTAGTTTTAGTACTCGAAGTGCAGAAAACATTTTTCAAATCATAACAATATTAATTTGTGTTCAAAAAAAAAAAAAAAACACATGACCAAATAAAAGTTCAATACGTAACCTATCTTTTTGTTTTATAATAAATGTGTTAATATTGATGGAATAATATAATTGTATAGATAATCTATAAGTAGTACAGTTCGCGTGTTCAGCTCAACCGAGACGGTCGCACATAGCAAAGTTCAATCGCACATCGACAACGTCTTCGACGGCTCAACTCGTATACAAGCAAACAAATACAAGGTTAGTGAACCACTTATAATGTAAATCACACCTAACCTACAATGAGCATCAATACTAAATCGCCCTTAAAAAAGGGCCAAAACAATTTCTTTACCACTAAAGCACCAAATAATCTACATCTTAACAACAAAATAATCAAAACACCTAATAATAATTCAAAGATCGCACCCCAAATCACAAATCCCAAAACCAACTCAACTTCACAGCTCAAAAATATTCCAAATCAAATCACACCAAATCAATCACCTCCAAACCCTAAAACCAATGAAAACCAAATCTCATTCGCCAATGCAGCAGCCAAAACTCGAAACCCAAAAAAAGAACAAGCAATAATCATTGAAATAACTGACGATATTCAGCAACATGAATATGTTTATGCAATAGCAGAAATAACTAAACCAGAAAACATAATATTCATGTCACGCATATCCAAAGATAGATTCTGCATATTCTTATCATCAGTAGAACAGGTTGACCGCGTCGTTAATCATCCAACACCAATAACAATCAAAGAAAAACCAATTAAAATCAGAAAATACTTTAACCCCGATAAAAGAATAATTATATCTAACGTATGCCCAACAATCCCAAATGAAACGATTCTAAGCGAACTCAACAACATTGGTATAACCCCCACCAGCCAAATAATTCACCTCAGAGCCGGTGTTAAAAAAGAAGGTTTCGCACACATATTAAGCTTCCGAAGACAAATGTTCTTATCCGCAGAAACCACCATAAATATTCCGAATTCGCTACTAATCAACCACGAAGGATCAAATCACAGAATTTTTTTCTCAGACGACTCACTAACCTGCTACAAATGTAAAAAAATTGGACACACTTCCGCCAGCTGCAATGAGTTCATAGAAACAACCATACAAAATCAGAATAATTTAGAAAAAATAAGCGACGCTCTCACCACGCAACAACAACACATAATAACAACCCCCCAAACAAGCATGTCACAAATAGAACACCCTATAGTGAACCCAATTAAAAATACTGAAGCGAATACCACCGATAACATGGAAACCGACCTCATATCATTCACCGATAACAAAAGGCCCGCGCCCTCCTCTCCAACGACGTCCCGAAACTCCGAGGAAGCCATAATAATCGACAATGAACAAAATTTAATTGCTACCAAAATCCACAAAGATCTCACCATAAAAAAAGCCAAAATAATACGACCCAACACGCAAGCAACCATCGAGTTTGATACAATATTAGAACCAGCAAAACAAATTTTTACCAACAACGCCAGCAATTTATCAATCAGTTTCACACAATTCAAAGCCATAATAGAAAACGCTCTAACCTGCAGCGACAAACAAGAATTATGCGACAACTACAATATCGAACCCAACCACCTAATCAGAATCATCGAACTCGTTTACCCAGCTATCAACAGCAAAGCAATTAAAAACCGCTTAACACGATTGTCAAATGCACTTTTTGAATTAGACGTACCTACATATGAAGATAACAACTAATTAGAACATCAACAATAATAAGCTCACACAATCAAGATAAATACCCATTCAACCCATAATGATATCACAAAACTTTAATTTATTACAATGGAATCTTAATGGATTCTATAAAAAATACAACGAATTACAACTAATCATTCAAAAACACAACCCAATGGTATTATGCTTACAAGAAACCAATTTCAACGACAATTCAATAGGAAACATTCCATCATACACAGGATACCATAAAAATCGTACAAATGCACTCCGTTCCAGCGGCGGCGTAGCTATCTACATTTCTGACACTCTATACAGTACACAAATAGACCTAATTACCAACCTAGAAGCAATCGCGATAACAATACACGGAAAAGAAATAATTACCGTATGCAATTTATACCTACCAAACCAAACAAACTTTAGCGATAACGATCTTGTACAAATAATTAATCAATTACCCACACCATTTATAATCACCGGAGATTTTAACAGTCACAACGAATTATGGGGATCATTAACAACCGATAAACGCGGCACAACAATAGGAAAAATACTAAAAGACGACAACCTAACCCTTTTAAATACAGGAGATAATACACGTCTAAATCCACATAATGGTAACTTCTCAGCAATCGATTTATCATTCTCCAACTCAGCATTAGCCCACCGAATTTCTTGGACAGTCGACTCTGAAATCTACAGCAGCGACCACATACCTATTTACATCTCAATCATACCAAGGAAAAGCGACCCAAAACACAACACCGGAACAAGATGGAATTTAAAACACCCAAACTGGCAACTGTACACCGACATAATAGAAAAAGAAATACAAATAAAAAACCCAATAATCAATAATTCAACACCAGAACAGCTAGTCACATTTTTTACAAATTTAATTTTAAATACCGCCGGAAAAACAATTGGTAAAAGCACGAACAACAATAAACCCAAAGTACCATGGTGGAACGGAAAGATAAAAACCGCCATTAAACTAAAAAACACCGCACTCAACCACTTGACACGGTGTACTGGACGTGGTAGAGGAAAGTCAGGGTGACACGGACAAAAACAACACACTTGATATACTGAATACTTTATTATGTACTTTGTGTTACTGACAACTAGTTATATACGAACGGTGGTAGTAGGTTGTACGCGGACGGAACAAGACAGTCGGCCCGGCCGGCGGCGAGGTCGGGTGTCGTTGCCGACGTCCGAGTCCCCTCCACCTGCCGTCCGACTGTAGCGCGTCGTGCGGGTGACAAGAAAGACGTAGCGGCCGATATTTCGGCGTTGCCGAAATACCGACCGCGACATTCTCCCCCGCCAACCCGCACGACGCCGTCTACCTACTTACAGTCCGTCGTCGTCGCTGGCCGGTAGTTCCGTCAGCATGTCCACATCCGGCAGCTCCTGGGCGCCTACCTGGAGTTGGAGGAAGTCTTCCTCGTCCGTGTCCAGATTGATTAAATCGGCTACCTTTGGGTCGTCGCGCGGCGTTCCGCCCTGCTTGAGGTCGGCCTTCGTCCGCACTGTCCGGGTGTTCCTGGGAGGGATGGTCGACGTTTCCTTCGCCAGTCGTCGGGGTCCTGCCTGTGCGGCTGGTGGGGGTCTCACCACTCCCCGGTCCAAGGCGATCTGGATCAGTGGATGTTGCAGCAGGTCTTGATGGGTTGCCCCTACGGCCCACCTGGCCAGCGCCCGTCCGTCGTCAGGTCTCACCTCTGGACTCATTTCGGTTGGGGTCTCCCTTGTCGGCGTGGCCGCCGATGGCGTTTGGGTGCCCCTTTCCGCTCTTGGTTGGTTCTTCCCGTACCGTCGCCACACGGCCATCAGGTTTTCCCATGTAGGTATGCCCGATGCCCGCCCAGCGAGCCGGCGCGCATTCAATAGGTTCAGGGACGCCTGGTCCAGGATCAACTGTACCACATCCGATACGGTCCCCCTGTGGGGACGGTAGTCGCCCACGGATAGATTGAAATCTCCGTTGCTGTTGGAAGGCGTTGTTGTCGGCTGGTTACGTGAGGACATCTTGGTTTTCCTGCTATAAATACACAACATGTTATATGGAAAACGTATTGGTTATGGTGGGTAATTCCCCGATTGTCAATCATCGTTGGTTTTCCCATCTCGGGTTTGTTGTTCGTATATCGGTTTTCCCCCGTGGTGTTCGTTAGGGGGAAAAACCCGGAATGTTTTCGATGTGGTTTTCCCCGAGTCGGTAAAACCCTTGACCGAGTTTTGGGTTTAACCCAGCCCGCATGTCTGTGTGCTCGGACGTGTCGTGCTGATGATAAGCTAGGTGTGACCTGTCACCGTGTTGCCGGTCGCGCCACTCTCCCCCGCCAATCAGCACGGTGTGTTCGGTTGTTTCCTCTTGAATCTTCTGTCATTTTCGTAGTTGGAATTGGAAAAACCCGTATGTTGGGTTCATACCGTTTATATATTGTTTGGCGGAATCGTTCGGTACTAGGTATTTCCCGTTCCGCGTGTGTGTTTGGACCTGGGGTTATCTTCCGGCATTGCCGTACTTTACCACTTATGGGTCCGTCCACTTCTTAGCCTCGTGTCTTCGTCTTTTGCTTGCTCTTTAGGTAGTTGTTGTTCTCTTCCCTTGCTTCGTGCCTTGGTTCAGGTTCCTTGCCTCCAACGGGGTCGGTGACGGTATGACTTTTGGTCGTCATTGGTTATTGTCATTCGACTTCGCTGTTGGTTGAGGTTGTGCCCTCCATTGGACTTGCTGGTGTGACGTCATTGTCAATTTAACCAGACTCACTTACTCCTAATGTCGGTACACTTGTGCCCTCGATTGGGTCAGCCGGTGTGACGTGATTGTCAATTTAACCGGTCTTGTCGACTCCAATGTCGGTAACACATGGTGCCTGCCTACTCCCCTATTTATCATAGTATTGAAGCGGCAGTTACACCGGTTGGGATACCCTTGTAACCTTTTTTCACGGGCGTGGGGGAGGTACCTCTTACCTTTGTGAGCTCGGTGTTCTTGGCGCGTCTGAAATGCCGTTGGCTTTGCGTCGCCTCCACCTTGTATAGACCGTCGGCCCGATTTTGGGCTTGTTCGTTGTCCATTGACTTTGATGTTGTTGCTTCGGCCTTGATTTTTGGCATCTACTGTTCGGGAGGGGTTTTCCCGACGTTCGTGATGTGTTGGTATTGGAAATACCCGTTGTTGTGTTTTGGAAAACCCCGGTGTTGTTCGGTACCGGGTATTTCCCGAACTGGATTTTTTGGTTTTCCCGTTTTGCTGGTAAAGTCCATGTTGTCCTGTGAGATGTTGGTTTCCCCTTTCTCTTTGTACTGCTGATACTTTGTTGACCTTTTCCTGACGCTTTGGTGGGTGGTGGCTGTGTTGTACTTCCCTGCCACTTTTGTTCGATCCGGGAGTCTCGTCCGATTTTGGTCGTTGTGAGGACCCTTTCGTGTTCTCCACGTTGCCTTCCACCTGCGGGTGTATGGACCTGGGGTTTTTTTTTTTTTTTTTTTTTTTTTTTTTCGATGTTACCGTACTTAGCCCCTTATGGGTCCGTCCACTACTTTGCCTCGTGTTACAGTCTTTTACTTGTTCTTTAGAATTTTGGCGTTGCCTTCCCTCGCTTCGTGACTTTGGTCCTGGTTCCCTACTTCCAACGGGATCGATGACGGTATGACTTTTGGTCGTCATTGGTTATTGTCATTCGACTCCGCTGTTGGTTGATTTTGCGCCCTCCATTGGATCTGCTGGTGTGACTTTTTTTTGTCAATTTAACCAGACTCACTGACTCCTAATGTCGGTTACGCTTGTGCCCTCGATTGGGTCGGCCAGTGTGACGTGATTGTCAGTTTAACCGGCCTTAACGACTCCAACGTCGGTAACACATGGTGCCTGCCTACTCCCCTATTTACCATAGCATTGGAGTGGCAGTGTCACCGGTTGGGATACCCGATTGACCCTTCGTCCACGTGCGCAGGGGGGATAAACCTCTAGATTCTTTCTCGGTGTTCCGGGCGCGTCTCGTTGCCGTTGGCATCGAGTCGTACCCACCTTGTATAGACTGTTGAGTTGTAGTACTTTGGTCTTGTCAATTTTCAGCTGTAGTACGTTTGTCGTTGTTGTTCCTTGACTTTAATCGCGTTGGTTCGGCGTTGATTCACTGTTCGGGAGGGGTTTTCCCGAGGTTTGTGATGTGCCGATTGTTGTTGGTCTTGTTCCCTATTGTGTGGGTTTTGCCCGTATGTTTCGTCGCTGTGTTTTTCCCCGACATCGTTATACGGGTGTTCGGTTCGGTCGTCGACTGCCCCGTCCCCGCCGATGCGAAACCTGTTTGTCGCGATTAACTATACGGGTATTCCCAGCGTTCACGGAAAGTGCCCTACGTGTTTTCCAAACGGCCCATGGGTTTCTCCCTGTATCGTTTCTCACGTGGTTTTGGGGCTTCCCGAGATCACCGAAATGCGTTATACCATGTTTCGTTGAGGCTACCCGTTAGTGGTTGGTGCCCCTTTGTACGCTAGTGTTGTTGGTCAGACTATCCTTTCCCATACCCAGTATCATGCCTTTCCACGTGGTCCATAGACAAATGTTTGCTACTACACGTGGAGTACCCGTGGGATCACCCGTGATAAGTATTGTGGTTAATATATTATTGACTTACCTTACGGGCCACGAGGTTCAAATCCTAAAACCGACTGCGCCAATGACACGGTGTACTGGACGTGGTAGAGGAAAGTCAGGGTGACACGGACAAAAACAACACACTTGATATACTGAATACTTTATTATGTACTTTGTGTTACTGACAACTAGTTATATACGAACGGTGGTAGTAGGTTGTACGCGGACGGAACAAGACAGTCGGCCCGGCCGGCGGCGAGGTCGGGTGTCGTTGCCGACGTCCGAGTCCCCTCCACCTGCCGTCCGACTGTAGCGCGTCGTGCGGGTGACAAGAAAGACGTAGCGGCCGATATTTCGGCGTTGCCGAAATACCGACCGCGACACACTATAAAAAGACTAAAAATCCCAACGATTTCATCTTTTTTAAAAAACTCAGAGCCCATACCAAATATTTAATAAAAAGCAGCAAAACAAACTCTTGGCACGATTTCACATCAAACCTAAACTTGAAAGTGGACCCACCCAGCGTCTGGAATAAAATAAAATCATTAAAAGGATTAAAACGTAGTAACCAAATAAACATACTCAACAATGAAACCATAGTCTCACAACAAGAAGCAGCAAAGCAACTAGGAGAATACTTCCAAAAAAATAGTAGCAGCTCAAACTATACCACCGAATTTAAAAATAAAAAACTCCAAGCCGAAAATACACCAATCCACTCAAAAATAAACCCAAATATTCCGCAACAAATACAACTCAACGAAGATATTACAATCAATGAAATACTTCACGCCTTATCAAAGAGTAAAAACAAAAGTGCCGGCCCCGACGGAATACCATACTCGTTTATCCAACACCTCCCACCCAACGGAAAACTTCTCCTATGTCACATCTACAACAAAATCTGGAAAAACAATTTCTTCCCCAACAACTGGCGAAATTGCATAATAATCCCTCTACTGAAACCAAATAAAAATAAATTTCAAGTAGACAGCTACAGACCAATCTCCCTCATAAACAATATTAGCAAAATTCTAGAAAAAATAATAAACTCAAGGTTAATATGGTACATAGAAAAAACAAACTACCTATCAAATTTCCAAAACGGGTTTCGGAAAAACAAATCTACAATCGTCAGCCTAGGATATATCCAAACCGAAATAAATAAAGCGTTCTCCAATAATCAGTCTATGAGTCTCATAAGCCTCGACATAGAAAAAGCTTACGACCGCACTTGGAAACACAGTATCATATCGAAACTAAGCAAAATACTATGCCACGGTAACCTACTAAACTACATTAAAAATTTTTTACAAACTAGAACATTCCAAGTAAAACTAGGCAACACAACTTCCGAGACCTTTTGTCAAAAAAATGGAATCCCACAAGGATCTAGCCTATCAACCACATTGTTTTTAGTAGCCATAAACGATATATCCAACACCATAAGTGGACCCATCAAATACACTCTCTTTGCAGACGACTTAAATATTTTTTACAGGAGCAAACAAACAAACACAATACAAAATCTACTTCAAGAAACTATAAATAACCTCACAAAATGGTCTTCAGAAACCGGCTTCAATTTTTCACCCAATAAATCACAAAACATCTGTTTCACAAAAAAAAGAAACCAAAATCTACCAACCTTTAAAATAAACGAGCACCCAATACCTAACAAAAACACAATCAAAATTCTAGGCGTCACATTCGACACAAAACTATCATGGTTACCACATTTAAAAAACATTAAAAAAGACACATCACAAAGAACAAACATCATAAAAATACTCGCACATACAACATGGGGATCCAAAAGCAAACTACTAATACAATTATATAAAGCACTTATCCGATCAAAATTAGAATACGGTGCTGAACTATACCTTTCAGCCAAAAACACGGCCCTAAAAACAATAGACCCAATACACAATACCTGCCTGCGCCTAGCCATCGGCGCCTTCAAATCCAGCCCAGTCGAAAGTATCTATATAATAGCAAGCGAACCTCCCCTATGGATCCGAAGAATACAAATAGCACTACTCTTCGCCGCAAGACTAACCAGAAACAACGCCGAAACACTAATACCCGAACACATCAAACAAATCATCAACAAATACAATTTAGATTTTTCAAATATATTGAAAAACACAATCATACAAACTCCCCCATGGTCAACTAAAATCAACATAAACACTGAAATAGCAGTAAATAAAAAAAAAGAAACCACTCCAGAAATTTATAAAAATCTATTCCGCGAACTCAAAAATAACCTATCAGGTCAAGACATTTATACCGACGCCTCTAAAAGCGAACAAGGAGTAGGAATAGCAATCATTATAGACGAAGAAATAATAACATATAAACTACAAAAAAAATGCTCCATCTATACCGCCGAAGCTATCGCCATAACATCAGCTCTCAAACATATCGAAAACAACCCACACCAAAATTTCAATATATTCACCGACTCCCTAAGCACCATCAACAGTATCCAAAATATATTCCAAACCAACGACATTGCTACTAACATCATTAACCAAATCGAAAATCTAAAACACCAAAACAAAAATGTCCAAATAATTTGGACACCAGGACATTGCGAAATCCACGGGAACGACCTAGCCGACCAACACGCAAAAAATGCAATAACATCTGAAGCTCCCAAACAAAAATACAACACAATATTAGACACAAAAAAACACATAAAAACAATCACACAAAATATATGGCAAAATCACTGGCTAAACCAAAACACAAAATTACGTGAAATAAAACAAAATATAAATCCCTGGCCACAACACGAAACATCAAGAAAAACAGAAATAATAATAAACCGACTAAGAATCGGACACAGCCACATCACACACGGACACCTAATGAAGAACCAACCACCAACAGAATTCACCACATGCGGAGTTACCCTCACAATAAAACACATTATAACTGAATGCCGATCAACCGAAGAAGCAAGAGAAAAACTCGACATACAAGCCAACATGTACGAAGCAATAGGACCTGACTGTCAACCCGAGAGAATCATAACATTCCTAAAGAACACCGGAATAGAAAAATGTATTTAAACATAATATTTAGTCATAAGTAACAATTCCCCCCCCCCCCCAATTATTGTAATCAAATTGTAAGCCAAAAATTAAAAAGACATTAACAAAATTATGTAAAAAGCTAATGGCCTATGTCGCCGAAGCTATACAAAGATCAATAAAAAAAAAAAAAAAATCTATAAGTAGACATACTTTTTTCATGAACATATTTTACTATACCGAGTATAAGCATAATAATATGCAGTTATCCTGCAGCTATGTTTTTTTTTAATTGACTACAATCCAAATAAGTTTAATATCCACAGAAACAAAAGTTTACATTATTTTATATTGTTTAAAATATTTATAATATTAATTAACTTTGTCTACATTGCAAATGTATAAATATAATTATATATATATACATATATACATATGTATATATATTATTGTTGATCATAACAAGAAGAAAACCATTTTAGTGGCTATAAAATTAATGAAATATTATTCAAACAAAAAACTATAGACGGTTTAACGTTTATATAAACAAAATAATTATTTATTTTAAATTGTATTTTGTAATAAAAATAACTAATTAATCACATAATATTTTTTAATTACTACATGTCCACATCATATTTTTTTCTTTATTATTATTTGTGTAAACAATTAATTAGTCTATTAAGATTTGAAATATTAATACAACTGTTTAATTGTTTAAAAAGACAATATTAGCTATAGTTTCATTAATAAACATATAACAATTTATTTAGACTGTTGTATTCATTTGTACTGAAAAATAACAAAACTAACATTAGATTCAAGCTTTTTTCTAACAGTTGTTAAGTATTGGGTGGTAGTAATAGTACTTTTAATAATATTTAAGTATTAAACTTAAAGAAATTTAAATAGTTGTCTTCAATACGATAGAAGAACGCTATGAAAATGTCAAAATGTCAAAAATAAGCTCAATAAAAATTATTTATAAATTCTGTTAATTCACGAAAACAATAATAAGCATAA